TTTTTTTTTTTGCGAAAATAGACGACTTGTAATAGTTTTTCATTTGATATGTGATATAATTTCATCTTCCTACGAGATTCAGGAAGATGATACTCGTGTTTTTTTTTTTTTTTTTTACATTAGCGCATAATTTGTAAAAAAAGAAAACAGATATTTATATGCATACATATCTGAAATGTTTCTGCCTTCTTGTGACAATCATATATTATTACATCGAATCTTCTCGGCTTACATAAACAATTTATGCACATTATATACGTATAAACAGGTAAATAGATTTATTAAGTTTCTTTTATATGTACAGTGAATTGGAGCAATCCACTAATGCAATTCTCGGCGATGTAACGCTATACATAATATAATGTATATAATATACTCTTTATCTCTATATTGTATCATATGAATATAGTATCCGAGAAAATATATGCTATCTGTCAATATGTGCTTATAATTGTGCGTCAGTATATTCATCAGCTTTGGTTACCGATCATCTTACGACGACCGGGTGGTAAAATGGAATCCAAGACTTCTTTTCTTTTATTCTTGTGTGAAATTTGTACGTAACTATACTATAGTTGTGTACACGTATGTGGACAAAATTCATTATAACAGTAGCGAGAAATTTTTGCGAATATCTTGAAAAACTGTGAAATCATTTCCGTGAAAAATGAATTTTAGTTTTCAATTTCATCAAAAATATCCCCCGACAATGACAAATTACAGTGTCTATAGTACAGCAATTGTGAAAATTATAATTTCTCTTGATAAATACCAATAAAAGATACTGATCAACGTGAAACATGTTATCCCCTTATCTCATCTGTTAATTAACTGTTCACGTGAGAAATATCATATCTCGTGCACGACCGGTTCAATCGTGAATCTTTGTAAATCGATTCATTATCTGCGGATTAAGCTGTTATATAGGGGAAAAAGAATATCGTATGATACGATCGTAATTGACAATCATACGTAAATGACATGCACGAATCGTAAGTTTTTTATTACATGAAATACGTTAACAAATTGTGATGTAACTTATAACATGTGATAGATGATATAATTTATATCGCGTCTCCGCGTTGGGGTCAGGTCAACACTATCACGTGTTCTACTATTGCGTTTGAATCTAATCGGATAATTATGTAAAGATGAAAAATGTTAATTTGTTCTTTTACTATTACTTTCAGATTTTCTATTCGAGAGACGTTAATCGACATCGAACATTAACTTTAATAACTGTCCTTGATCACGAAGCGAAATAAAAAAATTGGTTTTTTTGGCAATTATCGCATGAATATTTAATATAATATAAAATACTTTAAGCAACGAATGTAAAAATAGTAGCAAATAATATCTGACACGTGATAGTTCTAAGCATGAAGCGTACGATTTTTTTATTTAATTATATTAATTATTTTTAATATTATATATATATACATAATATTACATATATATGTAATATATATACATATTACATACATATGTAATATATATACATAATATTACATATATATGTAATATAAATATGTAATTTTATGTATTATATATATAACATATATTATACAAAAACATATTTTATGTATTATATATATAAAACATATATTATACAAACACATATTTTATGTATTATATATATAACATATATGTAATGTTATGTATATATATGTTATATATATAATATTACATGTTACATATATATGTAATATATATGTATATTACATATATATAATATTACATATATTACATATATATATATATATGTAATATATATGTATATTACACATATATATGTAAGTCCATTGGTGACACTGCACAAGCAAAGTTGTATCTTACGCGCATAAAGTCACCGCTAAACTGATTTACCGGGGAATGAATCCAATTGAAATCACTCAATTAATCGCATGTCGCGAGAGGAGATAACTCCACGGTAATCTAATACACGATTGTTGAGACATTTGAAATATTTAACAAGACACGGTTGACTATCGCTGTCTTAATTATCGAAATAATAATCTTAATTGATATTCTTACGTAACTGTCTTCTCTTTTACGAATTTCTTAATATTTAGATTAGAGGAACTATTTTTAGTTTCAGTGACAAAATTGAGAAATTTACTCGGTTAAACGAATCTGTTGGGCGAATCTAGAAAAGAAGAAAAGAACAATTGTATATTACAAATTTATTTATATACCTGTTAACTTGATGCAGAAAATTGTATGATATTTTAAACATGTTTTTCAAACACCGTTTATTTATTTTTCATTTTCAGCTTACAGTCCACCACACTTCCACGTTTGATAAATTCTGGAAAAATAAAGAGTACATAAAGAAAAATTGCATTTAGTATTTATCACAATGCCAGCTCAATTTGAAAGTACAAACACACCCATTGTGAGGGAACCGACTATAATAAATGGCAATAGCAACGCATACAATCTCAACGATGAGATTGTCATCAGCGGTTTTTCGGGTAATTAGCTATTATGTAGATGCATGTCGAATTGTATCTACGTATTCATTACGTACGATTTGTAAATTATAATTTTTCTTACTATTTTTAATATTTATAATTTTCTTTCTTTCTTTTTTTTTTTTTAATTTTTATAGGTCGTTTCCCGGAATCCACAAACATTGAAGAATTTAGGAAAAATTTATTTGAAGGCATTGATATGGTCACAGATGATGATCGTCGTTGGCCTACCGGTCTTTATGGCTTACCGGAGAGATCTGGTAAACTGAAGGATATCAAATCGTTCGACGCAACCTTCTTTGGGGTTCATGCGAAGCAGGCTCACGTAATGGATCCGCAGTTGCGTATGCTGTTAGAAGTAACTTACGAGGCAATTGTAGACGCTGGTATCAATCCAAACGATATCAGGGGATCCAAGACTGGTGTGTTCATTGGTGTTTCATCGTCAGAATCAGATGAATTTTGGACCATTGATCCGGAACAAATTAACGGTAGGTAAACCTAATATTTGTGGCAGTAATATGTTAAGAACTTACTTAATAATGACAGAAATAGAATAATTACTTACTAAATATTTATTTACAGGATACGCATTAACTGGCTGCTGCAGAGCTATGTTTCCAAACAGAATTTCATATACATTCGATTTTAACGGTCCTAGTTATGCAATAGACACAGCGTGTTCTTCGTCTCTTTACGCCATGCATCAAGCAATTCGTTCAATTCGCGTAGGGGAATGTGATGCAGCTATCGTCGGTGGTTGCAACCTTCTCTTAAAGCCCCAGATGTCCCTTCAATTTCATCGATTAAGCATGTTGTCTCAGGATGGTGCATGTAGAGCATTTGATGCTGATGGCAAAGGATATGTCAGATCAGAGGCTGTGTCGATTATTTTTCTGCAAAAAGCAAAGGATGCACGAAGAGTATACGCCACTGTTTTACATGCCAAGACTAACGTCGACGGTAACAAAAGTCAAGGAATTACCTTTCCCAGTGGAGACATGCAGAACAAGTTGATGCGCGAAGTTTACGCGGAAGTAGGTATCAATCCCGCAGATGTTGCTTACGTGGAAGCTCATGGAACGGGGACCAAGGTCGGAGACCCGCAAGAAATCAATTCTATCGCGAATCTATTCTGCAAAGGTAGAAAAGGTCCTCTGTTACTTGGTTCTGTCAAATCTAACATGGGACACTCAGAACCAGCCAGTGGAGTATGTTCTATGGCAAAATTGTTGATCGCTATGGAGTCCGGTATAATCCCAGGTAATCTGCATTTCAAGAGTCCGAATAAAGACATACCAGCATTGAGCGACGGAAGTATACAAGTTGTTGATAAGAACATGTCGTGGAAAGGCGGACTCGTGGCCTTGAATTCGTTCGGTTTTGGTGGAGCCAACGCTCATATACTTCTTCGTAGCAACCCTAAGCCAAAGTTATCGCCAGTTCTAGACAACAAAATACCTAAACTGGTTACTGTATCTGGTCGTAGTGAAGAGGCTGTGAAGTTACTTTTAGATAAAGCGAAAGAACATGAAAAAGACGATGAATTCATTGCTTTGCTTCATGATATTCATGCGAATGACATAGCAGGTCATCTTCATCGGGGATATTCTATTATTGGAGATGTTAACATCGAAGAAATTAGTCCATACGTTAATGACAATCGTCCAATTTGGTTTGTATTCTCTGGCATGGGATCTCAATGGCCCGGAATGGCTAGAGATTTGTTTTCTATCGACGTATTTCAGAGGAGTTTACGAAGAAGCGCTGATGCTTTGAAACCTGAAGGAATCGATTTAATGAATCTTATTCAAAATGGAACGGCCGAGACCTTTGATGAAAATGTTGTGTACTCGTTTGTGTCAATTGCAGCTATTCAAGTTGCTCTTGTAGATGTATTAACACATCTGGGTGTTCAACCTGATGGTATTATTGGACATTCCGTCGGCGAATTAGGATGTGCCTATGCAGATGGCACCTTTACTCCAGAACAAACGGTTTTGGCTGCATATTGGAGAGGAAGAACAATCATGGACTCAAAATTGGAGCCAGGCGCAATGGCTGCTGTAGGATTAAGCTGGGAAGAAACGGTAGGTCGATGCCCACCAGACATAATACCAGCCTGCAATAATTCAGCAGACTCTGTGACAATTTCTGGACCAATCGAATCTATCAAGAAATTCGCTGAAGATTTACAAAAGGATAATATCTTCGTAAAATTGGTAAATAGCTCTGGTGTCGCTTTCCATAGTAAATATATAGCCCCAGTGGGTCAAAAGCTTCGTGTTATGTTAGAGAAGATTATATCAAATCCCAAACAAAGATCTTCCAGATGGATTTCTACATCACTTCCCGAATCAGCTTGGGGCACTCCATTGGCACAACTTAGCAGTGCTGCTTATCACGTGAATAACCTGTTGTCGCCTGTATTATTTCACCAAGGATTATCTCATATCCCAGATAACGCGGTAGTTATTGAAATTGCACCACATTGTCTATTACAAGCAATTTTGCGTAGATCATTGCCACCAACTGTGACCAATATTGGTCTACATAAACGAGGTCATACAAACAATCTGAACTTCCTACTGGAAAATGTAGGAAAATTATACTTAGCAGGAGGACAGCCCAAAGTATCTAAGCTGTATCCACCGGTTAAATATCCAGTTGGTCGTGGTACACCAATGATCAATACCTTGATTAGATGGGACCATTCTGTGGAATGGAGCGTTGCCAGTTTTGCAGGAAAATCTAAATCTTTTGGTGAAAATGTAGTGGAGGTAAATCTGGCCAAAGAAACTGATGCTTATTTAGTTGGACATTGTATCGATGAAAGAGTACTCTTCCCTGCAACTGGTTATCTAATAATTACTTGGAAAACCTACGCGAAATTGCATGGGACGGACTACGAGAAATTGCCGGTTACGTTTGAGAATGTAAAATTCGAAAGAGCTACCATTATGCCGAAGGAAGGCAATATAAAATTTTTGATCAACATATTCATGGGCACTGGAGAATTCGAAATTTGTGAGAGTGGATCCGTTGTTGTAACTGGAACAATTTCTGTACCGGAAAATGTTGAGAAAATGTTATTAAATGTACCAGCACCAATTGTAAAAAATGAAGGTGAAGTAGTGGAATTGAATGCCACTGACATTTACAAGGAACTCAGACTACGAGGATACAATTATACAGGAATTTTTCAGGGAATTAAATCTGTTCACAATGGTGGAGTCTCTGGTAGACTTCTCTGGTTGAACGACTGGATTTCGTTCGTTGATACTATGCTTCAATTCACCATTCTTGAAAAAGATTCTAGAGGATTGTACGTGCCAGTTCGGTTGCAATATGCTGCCATCAACCCTATTGTTCATTTAAATTTCGTTAAAAATTATAAGGAAGACGAAGGTGTTCCAGTGTACAATTATCCTAACATCGGTATTATCAAATCAGGCGGTATTGAGATCAGAAAGATGAAAGCCTCTTTGATTGCAAAGAAGGAACAGTTCCGATCTCCGAGATTGGAGAGATGCTTGTTCATGCCTTATCAAAATTCTCAATCATTAGTACAAGATCCAGAAAAGGCTAAAATTCATGCCCTTAATATACTACTACTAACAGTTTTCGAAAATATATATGGAATCAAAATCAAAATTGTCGAAGCTTCTGGAAATCGTCCTGTGGATTCTCTACTCTTGCCTTATGTACAGGCATGGTGTTATGAACAACCTTTGATAAATGTAAGTATTTTACAACTAGTTGTAAAAAAAAAAAATAAGATATACAAAGACTTACTTGATATATTTTTCAGGGGGATTTACAACTGGCTGCAATTTTGCGCAAGTACTACGCCAGTTTAGGACAAGATATAAAAGTTGTAAAACTCAACGAAGAAAGAGAACCGATTGGCCATGATTTACATCTTGTAATAGCTAGCAATGTATTGTCTAGAAATTTGTCACATGTATTGAAAAATTTAAAAGACAGTATAATAGATGGAGGATTCATACTTTTGGAAGAAACGGACAATTCTGATGTTAATTTGACAGATCCAGATTTAGCGTATGTAGCCAAACAGGTCATTCCTGGAAAATCTTATCTTTTACTCAAAAAGAAGAAAGTAAGACCCGATCCTATTGTTATACAACTGACGGAAAAGAATTATATGTGGGTGGAAGGTGTCAAAGCAGCCTTGAAAAAAGTTGTGGCTGAGAAT